TTAGATCTATCCTTTATCATACCCTAAACTATCCCTTTTCCCTTTTAATTATTTAACAACTAAATTCCCTTACAACTATTCCCTTACTAGAGAGGACGAATAACAATCACATATTGGCAAGAGCTAATTACAAAGTCACAATTATCTTTGGGTGAGGCCAGGCCTGCCTTGGGAGTAAGTTGTCCTGGAGGTGTAGAATATAAAGAAAAGGTAGGACATTGTACCTGCAGGTATATGCCTTCTGAAACAATAAAGCGATTACTGGAAGCTGGGACAGTTTGTCTTCTATTTGAAAGTCTCAAAAGAGAGTCCATGTCAGTCTCAACCAAATTCCTTGAAATACTGTCATATATTTCACCAAGCTATAAGGGGATCTTTTAATACATCCTTTCAAATCCTGATGTGCCCTCTAGAATTTGGCTTTAAAATACTTGTAGTCCTTTTCTCTCCAAGGCAGACTCAGAAGCTCTTTATTTTTCCCCCCTTTTTCAAGTAGCTACAAAGTTTACTTTTGAAGGAGAGATTTACTTTTCCACAAAAATTTGAAGGTCTTCTATATGACAGCACAATTTGAACTTTAAGAACTTTGTAATATATGTGACTTTAGGCTGTCAATTATATTTTATATTTTGAAAAGTCACACTATCTGAGGTTTTAAGTCTGCATATAAATTCTTATAGTTTCCTTTAGGCACCACAAGTTATTTCATTATTCTATGGCCTTTTTAAAATAAAAGTGATATAATGTAATAACCTCCCTTTCTCTCTTTTTTTTTGGTCTCTTTTTCTTTTCTTCCTCTTCCCTCTATCCATTTTCAGTCTAGCCAATATTTATTCTTGGGCTAATATATTGAAGGTATTGTGTCAATCCTAGAAACACTAAAATTATATGAGGGCATCCTGCTGCCAACTTGTTAGAATCTCATCCTCACTTCTTTATTTTCTTTTTTTAAAAGATTTACTTATTTATGCATACAAGAACTGGGGTATAGGCCAAAGGTATGGGGTGGGTGAAAGGATTCACCAGAGACAGAGTGGGGGACAAAACAGGCAGATATACTGAAATATACTGCTGAGGGTAGCAGTGGGTAAGTCAGGAGAGGTCTGCTGCGCCATGTGGGTAACTCCCTGGCTGGAGATCCAACTCGTGCTGCAGAGGCTGTGGATAGCTTCACAATGCTGTACTTAACCCCTTGCACCACCAGGGAGAGTCACTTCTTCATTTTCAATACTTTTGTTTTTTAAATGTATTTTCCTTATTTTTTTCTGACCTTTTTCTCGTAAATAGACTCTATTGTTATACACTTGTGAGTATATGTCATTTATTCATTCAGTTTTCAAGTAGGCAAGCACAAATATGAGTCAAGCAGGTCAACCAAATCGTTTCATCTTCATTGTGGAGGTAGGAGGAGGATGTACATGGTACTCCAGTTCATATCTTCTAAATCACTTCTGCTCTGGAATAGTAATGCCTTATATATGGACCAGCTCTTTCCATATAAAGATATGTTTGCATTTGTGACTGTGCTTGGTAGTCAACAAAGTGATAATGATCAGATTTGAGAGCAAAATAAAATGCCAACAAATGCAGAGCATTAGTGAGCTCTTCTCAGGTACGTGAAGGGTAAATTTACTAAACACAGTTAGACAAACCACAGCATGGACAGTGGGAGTGCCAAGCTACCCTGATTTTGCAGATTCCAGAAAGATGCCCATACTGCTGCTCCTTCCATCTTCTTGAGATGAGGACCCTGTAGGAACTTTGGATTAGGTTCCTTTCTAAGTCCTTGGGGTTTTTAAACCCTTGGCTTCCATTGACAATAAAGACAAGTTCTGGTTACCTATCAGATGCAAGTGATAGTTAACACTTTCAGAATCTTCCTATGTGCTTTCCCAATTTCTTTTTCCCAAGTAGATCTTCTCTACTTGGATGTAGAATAGAAAAGGGCCTCAAGCCTACTAAGGTCTATTCTTAATAAGTTCCAAATTCTATAACTTTCTTTTTTTTTTTTAAAGATTTATTTATTTATTTATACAAGCACTGGGTACAGTCAGAAGCACGGGAGGGCAAGAGAATTCACCAGAGCCAGAGTGGAGAGCAGAGCAGGCAGAAGGACCGACGTACACTGCTGAGGGGAGCAGTGGGTGGCAGGAGAGGTCTGCGCGCCATGTAGGACCTTCACCCGGTGGCCGGAGATCCAACTGCCACTGCAGATGCTGCGGGCAGCTTCGCAAGCCAGTGCTCAACTGCTGTGCCACCAGGGAGGCCCAAATTCTATAACTTTCTACTGATGAATGACACTGCAAATTTCCTGGTTATTTCTTTACTCTTATTTTGTACAGTTTACATTTGAAACTTAAGCCCAATTACTAAAATGACTCTAGTGCGAAGAAAGCCAAAGATTTCATATTAACTTCCAATTTGCACCGCCTGTCTAGAGCAATATGTTAAGAATTCCAAAGCTTTCATGCTGATTGAGTGAGAGAGAGTTCTGGTCAGTCAGAGATGTGTTCTATAAATAAGAGAGGGGAATAATGGTATGCATTCCTGATTTTTCCCATTCCTGGCCTAGCACTATCCTAAATCTTTGAGAGAGGATGATAGACCTCTGTGTATCTCTCCCTGGGGCATACATTGGCCTGTTGGATGCCGGCTGTGAGTTATATTACCAGATCTGCCAGTTAAGATGGATGTGATAAGAAATACATCACTCGGGGCATTTCAAGCAAGCACAGAAATATTTGGTAAAAATAACAGAAGATATGGATCCAGCAGCACTTTCTCTAGCAGATTTGCCTCTGTGATTACAAGGACATTTCAGGGTATAGCCTTTCCTTGAAGCAAAATGAATGTCACTGTCTTGGAAGGATTTGTCTTGGAGGATTTCACCTTTCAGCCTGTTCTGAGAACACTTGACCTAACAGGAAAAAAAAAAATTCTCACATCACTTTGTGGGTGGCTCTTGAAATTTAATCACAAGGAATATATCCCTGTGGTTACTAAGAAAATTAAGTTCTGCTATGTAAACAGAGGGTAGAATTAGAGAACTTTTGTGAAAAGGGACACTAGGATAATCAGTTCCAGTACTAATGTTTTCTAATTGAGATAACTGAGGCCATAACCAATTGGGACTATTTCAATTCTGAGGAGAAAGAAAATTAGTATCTATTCACTAGTTACCAGAAATTATTTTATAGATTAGAAAATTTGAAAATAGAATGTTTAAGTAAGATGTTTATGATCACACAGGTTAGTATATGAATTTGAATCCACCTTTGGCCCCTAAGCATATATGTTCTTTGTATGAGATTATATTGTTCGTTCTTTTATTATCATACCTACTATCCATTCTCTTCCCTATCCTGTTTACCTATTGTATATCTTACTCTACAGAAGTCTGATTTTTGCTACTTTGGACTTAGTAAACTAATTTATGATTTGAGTTAATAGAGGATAAAATTCAATGTATTATAATTATACCTACTTTGTGAATGTAGTTTTCTAGGGATATAAAAGATATGTCATCTCTATTCTGAACAATCCAGAAAATTGTTACACTGGGATCTATTTGGACAACCTATCATTTTTTATGAAAAATCATGTGATGAAATTATAACTACATTTTCTATTGTTCTCACCACAGAACCAAAACTGATTCTTTGGGATATTTCAAAGCTGCTTCTTCTGTAACACTACATCCCTTTATCATTTTTACCTTCCTCCTTTTATGATATATTGAGAATGTCCACCTTACTTTCAATCTCTTTGATTAATTAATCAAGGTCTTGATTAAAGATCTTGAAAGGTCCTTGAAAACTTCAAATACTAAGCAAATTGTAAACTACTTTCTCCTATAGCTTTTGGCATTTCCCCTGCTAGGAACAGTTAAAGGTTTTTCCTATCCTCTGAGCCTGGTCATCATTAAAATCTAAAGAAGAAGAATTTCTGGCATTATTATTGCCCCAGGTCAGACTCAGCAGGCAGTAAAGATTCAAAACCTCCAAAGCCTATAGCTCTGCTTCATTATGAGGAAATGCCACCACCAGCAATCCTCACATCACTTTCTGAAAGGATGTTTAAGTGTGCTAGTTTTTTCCCAGAAGCTCCTTGTTATATAGATAGAAATGTTATATCGGTTGATCCCCTCTGCCTGTGGGACACCATTTAAAATACCTGTTGCCCCGTCGAGTTGGTAAAGCACAGTCCATTCATGGTGTTTCCTGAGTCCACGATTCAACAGAGGATTTCTTTAGAGTGAAGGACACTCTCCTTCCCCGTGTCCCTACATTTCTGTTTTCAAGCTGAGCCATTTTCTCTTCTCTTAGTTCATATAAAAAGTTGGGAGTGACTGTGAAAGAAAAAGACTATCTTAGAGAAATTATAACTTGCATTTGCTTTTATTGCCTCTTTCACCTTTCAGCCTACTGAAGAGTTAAAAGGAGAAAACAGTGCATTCTATAGAAATATCGACACACACATACACATACACACACACATATATGTGTGTATGTGTGTGTCAGTTAAGGCTTAAAAATAAGAGAATAAAGGACTATTTTTATCTACTAAATTAGAAAAAATAGTTTTTAAATGCTGATACCTAGGTTAGCTTGTTGCAAGGAAAGCATCACCCTCAGCTAGTAGTTCTCAAATCAGGGCTGTGCTTAAGAATCATCTGGGAAGATTTTGCAATACACCAATGTTATCCCTTCATCCCCATCCAAACCCTGAATAATAGAGTCATAAGATGCTTTTTTAAAAGCAATTTATATAATATTTATAGAGCTACAGAAAGTTTTCATTTCCAAACCTCATATTGTCACTTGTAGTATTTCTTTCCTTACCCTAAAAAAAATAATTCTAAAAAGGAAAAGCTACAGGAAAAGAGTTCAGTTATTTATTATACATAAAATTTAAATATCCTAAATATTTAATGGACAATGATAATTTTTCTCCCCATCACTCCACACCACACCCTCCCATGTAATACCACTTGCCTGTGTTGCATTTAATATCCATCCAGTGCAGAGTTGGCTCTGGAACCACGCAAAATGCAGCCCACCAGTGGCAAATATCTGTGACTCTGGTAGAGCTGGCAGAGTCAGGGACAATTAGTGTTGATGTCATTCCAGAAATTACATAAAACAATAGACACTGTTTGTAGGCAGCCAGAAGAATACAGAGAAAAATGAAAATGATGTAGTTTGTTGAAATAGTGGGATTGTGCAATAATTATTTTCATTCATTTTGAATTCTGTTAACATAATTTTAATGCCTGTACAAACATTTTTTTATGGAAACTATTGGCAGGCAAAAGATATTTTTTAGTTTTACTAATTTATCTAAAGATTAAATTGTAATAACATCAACTGCTAGACACAAGTAGCTAAATCCAGTGCTGTAAGACTCACCATTTGTCTCAACTATCACAAAATATCTCTTCCTGCTAAGTGGGACAGGGAAATGGATCGCTCTTCCATTACTAGCACACTTTTGTATTAGGACATTGTCTCCCAAGATTAATATTACTCATTTTTAGGAAATGACTAGCATATGTGTTTTATGATATTAGCTGGTAATTAAGTCAGGAAGTCCTTATGGAAAGACTTTTCATAGCATGAATGATTTGATTGAGCAGAGTGGGGAGGCTCAGTTAAGAATATAGAAATACCACACCCTGGCATTTGGCCACTAGAAAAGAAAGGCAACACAAACCAATTTAACCCTAGGCTTGAGGCATTAACATGGCTCGAGATCTGTGGTCTTTTATTCCGTTCTGGATGGTTTTGTTGATAAATTGAGCCCAAGGGCAAATGCTTTGGATCATCTTTTATCATATAGCTTTCACAAACATAAGCGGTTTGTGCTTTAGGCCTTTCCCTGACAACATTTAGGCTTTATATATGGTATGCATATTTGCATGCAACTCCAGCACAGATGTATTATATTGAATTTAAGATTTTCAAATTAGTAAATTTTGATAATATGTAATGATCTTAGCTAATATGCATATTATATAAATAATTCTGTGCTAGCTTCGGGCAAAGAGAAACAACTATTTTGGTAATGATGTAGGATAAAGAATATAAGTGGTATTAGATTCCTGATTTTAAGTTTGGAGATTTTTAATTTCATTTTAACTTTGACAATTTTCCTATCTACTCCAGCTATTATTCATCATCTGTAAAATGGGTTTGATTACAATATCAAGGAGAGTTAAATGTTAAAGACTAAGAGAGAAAATATATGTGAAACATTTTGCAAACCGCAGAATGCAAGTTAAAAAATTTTATGTAGTTGCTAAATATCCATTATTCATTGTGTTTTCATGAACCTTGTCTGAAGTTACAATGTTTTATTGCATTTCATATATCAATATCTATGAAACTTATTAAATTTAGGTATAAAAGTTGAGTAAATATAAAACTCTTAAACTTACTGTACTTTTAGAAAGAAAATAGTTTGCTACAATATCCACACAGAATTCATTAAGGAAGTAATCCCCAACAATAAAAATATGTTAATTTTTTAAAAATAATTATTTAAACTATTATAAGCTCCAGTGCTTTTATAGCTAACGTATTTCCTCTAGCTTTGCTAAATCTAGTAGTTTATCTCAATTACTAAGTGACACTAATATGTAAGTATCTAAGAGGTGAAATAAATCCATATTAACCTTTCATAGAATGGTTTCTATAACAATGATCAAACTTCACAAGAATGCAAAAATACTCCTTAAATATGATAATCACTCAGAAACACTGACACATGTATCTAATGAGTCAAAAATATTAATTTCCTTTCACTCTCCCCCTCTCTATGTAAATGTTGGCAAGCCTGCCGAAAGGTTGAATCAGAGATTAGCTGAAAACTGTCAAGGAGAATATCAAAACGGTACCTTCTAGGGCATGTAGGCAAACCAAATACTTAGTGGAGACAGGCTAATTTATCATAGTGCAGTTGCGATGGCAACAAGAGTTCTTGGTGCCATGTGACCCAAAGCAGTTTCTGTTGACTGGCTCTAAGTGACTGTCAGTTCAGCAAAGGTTCCACTGTTTCCAGTGAAAGGGAAGAGAGAGCATTGATACTTGTTGAAAAGGCATAATAATAATAGTGTATCTCAAACCATGAAAGCATCCCTTTGTCTCCTTGATGTTTATTTTTATTCTGACTAAAGGGACCCCTCTAATTTTTGTTGCACAAAGGCCCCTTATTTATTCACAGATTAAATATGTGTTCCTCTGTTAACTAAAAAATTCCATCTCTGCCAATAGACTTATAAACAACAAGCATTTTTAAATTTTTGATGATATTTTACTTAGGAGGTGCTAAATTTTAAACTGCATTTTAATAGTATTTAATAAAATCACAAGAAATCTGATTTCATGAAATACAAGCTAATAACTAAATGTTCCTGCTATAATTTTCTTAAGTGTAAGAAACAGATCCTGACAATACTTCCTTATGATCTGCAAGAGCCCGAGAACCTCAAGGAAGGTAGACAATCAGCTTGACATAATTTTACTTCTTTCCTTCTCACTGTTATATTTATTGATGGGTCAATAACAAGAGCCATAGATATAGTCACACTCTTTGATTCAAAAATTCTACTCTCGGGATTTTATTTTGGGGAAATTCTAGTAAGGAAAGAGACTTATGTCAGAGGTGAGAAAGAATGAGATTCGGAGTCAAGTAGATATGAATTTCAAATCATGGTTCTGCCACTTGCTTGCTAAGTACCCTTGGGGAAGTAGTTTACCTCTGTGAACCTGAAGTTTTCTCATTTGTAAAGCAGGCCTGAGTATCTACCCTGAATGGTGAGTGGAAGCCTTATAAATCATATGTGTTAAATGTCTGCTTTATGCCCGTGTATCTGTCAGAGCCCTCCCAGTGATGTCCTTCTCAACAAGCAGCCTCTATAAAGCAAGAACTCAGAAATAATCTATATGACCCAAATTAGAATTGCAACCTAGTAAATTCTTTATTAGTAAATCAGATATCTCATCAGAATTCAATATGACATAATCATTTAAAATTTTAATTTTTAATAAATATGACTTTTGGAGGAATGTTCATGATATTATATGAAAACAAAATAATTACAGATTGCAGAAGTAGAATTATGATCTTATAAAACATTATATAAAATATACATGTTTGAAGAAAGTAACTTGCCAAATGAAAATAGTGTAAGTGGTATGGTTATAAGCAATGACTGTATTCATGAAGAACCTAATATATTCATTTAAAAAATATCATGGGACCTCCCTGGCAGTGCAAGGGGTTAAGACACAACCTGTGAAGCTAGCCACAGCCACTGCAGCACAAGTTTGATCCCGACCATGGAGCTACCCACATGGCACAGCAGACCTCTCCTGACTCTTCTGCTGCTCCCCTCAGCAGTGTATTTCAGTATATCTGCCTGTTCTGTTCCCCACTCTGCCTCTGGTGAATCCTCTCATGCCCCACACCTCCGGCCTATACATCAGTTCTAGTATGCATAAATAAATAAATCTTAGAAAAAAATCATGGCAGAAACAATCTGGAGATTGGCGTAGTGTAGGAGCACCAACCACAGCCTATAGCAACTAGAGTAGGTTCTTATATCCTCTTTCTTTCACTCAAAGTCCATGACAGGCACTAAAATGTGGTTTTGCTAACACTTTTGAACATTTTCTTTATGCCCCCAGAGCAGTGTTGCTTCAAGTGAGAAACAGAAAAGAATTTACAAGAAAGAATCCATGTGTGAAAGAATTCCAGTTTATGCACCAAGAAATAGAGTAAGTGGAAGAGTGAAAGCAATTTGCAAGGTTGATTAAAAGGTGTGGTTTGCATTTGGAATGCATTTTCTTTCAAATTTAGGATTCAGACCTTAGATACCCTAGCATATGGGAAGAGCAGCTGGAAGTCCATATTCTAGTGTTTTCTATAAGACTAAAAGTTTATTATAAGTTCGAAGTAGTGATCACAGGAACTAAGAGGCACATGATTTTCTAGCTGAGATGTTTTAAGTGGCAGTCGAATGGTTCATTGAGTGCCAGGTTCAGTGCTGACAGGCCAGAAAGGAGTGAAGAAGACAGATAAGAAGGCATTGACAGAGGCAGCTGGGTAAGTCTCACAGTGAATGCTGACAAGCTCTCCTCTCTCACATTCTACTTAAGCTGGCTAGTGTCCAGGTACTATTATCTGCTCTGGCAAGGACAGGTCACATTTTACTTCATGCAAAAAGTATGTCAAGCAGAAGAACTCAGTGATAGCTGAAGAAAAGTGCCTGATGCTTTATAATATAATTCTTCTTCTTAAAGATTTATTTATTTATGCATACAAGAGCTGGAGTGTAGGGCAGAGGTGTGGGGGGTGAGAGGATTCACCAAAAACAGAATAGAGGGCAGAACAGTCAGGTCTACTGAAATATACAGCTGAGGGGAGCAGCAGGCCAGACAGGAGAGGTCTGCTGCACCATGAGGGTCAGCTCCCTGGCCAGGGAATCACGCTTATGCTGCACTGGCTGCAGATAGCTTCATAGTGCTGAGACTTAACCCCTTGTGCCACCAGGGAAACCCTTTGTTATATAATTCTTGTCTAGACTGTTCTGCTTTAACCATAGTGGTTCTTAATTTACCTGAGGAGTCTTTGTTAAATTTCATTGTTGTTGCTTTAAAACTGAGGAGTGTATACTGGAAGAGATGAAAATGATAGACTGAATCTCTGTCCTGCTGGGCTTAATGTAAATTCTGTCTCATTCACTATTATGGTCCCCTCCCTAGACCAGAATCTCCTCACACTCCTAGGGACTCCATAGCTTGATAGCGCTGTGTCTTTAACCCCTGTACCACCAGGGAGGCCTTAAGTAAAGGTATTAAGATCTAGTCAAAAATGGTTGTCACTGGAATTCTCATTGACAAGTCATAGTGATCTTTTGGAGTTTGACGGTTCTATTCTTCTTTATAATGAATGGGTCATATATTTGGGTTGTGTTTCTGCCTCCTTAGTGGCTGAAAAGTCAACTCTCCTTGAGATTTCATCACTCTCTGGCGCATGGCCAAGTTCTCATGGTTACATTAGCCGTAGACTCCACTCACCCCCCCTTTTCAAATCCCTAAGGATTTTTTTTTTTAAATCTGAAGAAACCTCTGCTTTACTTCCACCTCTGTATTTCCTTTGCCTCTTCTTCAAAAGGTTTAAACTTTTGTAAAACAAAAGTTGACTTACAGAGACTTACAGGTTCTGTCTGACTTGTGGTGAGTCCTGTGCATTCCCAGAGGCATTGGAGCACAGAACCTATTGGATCAGGAAAGGCAAGAGAAGAAATTATAAGTGCAGAAAAAAATATCGATTCAAATTTGTCTATCATGTCTAGGGCAAAGTACAAAGTAAAGAAATGCGTGTTTGTGTGTGTGTGTGTTTATGTGAAAGTGAAGCAAAGACAGAGTCACAGAGACATTAGGAGAAAGAGATAGTAAAGTCAATCTGAGTCTGTGAGCTCAAGATCACCACTTTGAGTGGAATAACGATTTGAGATCCTTGATATGGGCCCTTCACACTAATGCTAGGTCAGCTTAGAGACCATTGTTTCATAAATCAATAACTGTTTCAAGTTTGTTTTTTTCTTTTTACTTTACTTCCAGTTACAAGAATTCGATATCTTGTGAGCAGATTTCATCAGATGATGTGCCTGTATTTGAATGTGGTGTTAGATTTTATTTTGAATGACATATAAATTGTGTTTTTTAATTATTGATAAAATTGTTAATAATATTAATTGTGACTTAAAAAAATCATTAACACCTTCAGTTTGACTTTGACCCTTTAGGTTAGCTGATTTTAAGCTAAGATCACAGATGTGAATTTGTTGGGGGCTGTCTAACCTGACTCCATTCCATTCTTATGGATTACATTTCTAACCCCAGGCTGCCAATGTCAAATACATTCTTCTGGTTTCAAAATTGTACAGATGTGTGAACAAATCAATGGAAAACGATTTCATATTGAAAAAACCTAAAATTTTAACACCAACATCTCATGAGTAACCAGTATCTTTGCATATGGAAGACAATTAATTAATTCATTTTTAAACATAGCTGTCTACATGGATGTCTGGATAAAAAAATTTACAATAAAAACATTGTTTACTCTTGATGGACCTGCAGGCAGGAAATTTATTGTCCTTGAATAAATCCAAATAAGCTTTTCAATATTTTCCAAGAGCATCCAAGAAGAAAAAACTAACTTTATACTCTGATAATGATTCTTTACCTTACAACTCGCCAGGCAACTTCTAGAGTTATTTTCACTGTTGGTAATACAACATATTGTAAGTGGTAAAGAAGGCCCATTTTGTTTCTTAAACCAGGCAGATATTGTTGTGAATTGTAGTAAATGTGTCAGAAATAGTAATGGGAAGCCGCAGTTCTATAGGCTAAGTCATGTAACTTGCCCCCTGTTGCTCCACTATTCAGAGCTTGACTAGTCCTTTATTTCTTTTCCAATGCTTGTAATACCTCCTTCTCTGTGTTTTTTTTTTTTTTTTATTTTCAATGTTAGTGTCGCTTTTCCCCAGATTAATATCCATATTCAAGTTCTATTACTAGCCTTATTTTTCTTGCTATTTTAAATTATAATATCATTTTTTTATTGAATACTCACCATAAATTGAGAGACTTCAGGAACAAGGAAATAATAAGTTCAAACTTAAGGAAGTTTATAGGAAGGCATGTAATTCAATAGTTTAATTCTAATATTTAATATCAGATAATTGAATACAAGCAAAAGTTCATAGAAAATGTTGTCATAATAATGAAAACAAAGTATTGTGTGAAAGACATTTGATATGGTGACCAGTTGATTACTGGGGACCTTTAAGACAGAAATTTCAATGGAATGGCTGCTCTATTGCTATTTTTAATTATTGTAAAGCTAAAGAAATGCATTTTTTTTTTGAGGATTGCCAAAATATTTGGAAAGTGGAAATGAGGTTATCTTTCAAAAGGGTTGAATTTACCAGATTGGAACATGGGCTAATTGTTCTAGTTTATTCATAGTGATTTCCTAGTATTGTGAGACTGAGTGTTCACTGGCTCATAGAGAATAACTCTAAAACTAGTATAATTTTTTAAAGATAAGAACAAATGAAATATTTTGTGTGGTTTACCATGATTGGACTAAGCTGTAAAATGAAGTCAAAAGTAGGACTTCAGACTCGTTTTGTGTCAGTTTGGGTGTTGGTTTTTTTTTTCCCCAACTTTAGACTATAATTGCAGAATAAGCTTATTTTCAGCATACTACCTAATTGAGAATGATTGAGAAAAAGGAAGGAGGTGTGTATATTGCTTAAAAAGTAGTTCTAGCAAGAAACTTTGAATAAATGCACTGCCAAGGGAATTTGAACAGCTACATAACAGAAACTGGGCCTAATTTAGAGTTTAAAGATCTGAATTACAGAATCTGATATTGCTTCCCTGTATGAAGAATAAATGTATGGATATTATCATAAAAGAAGATTCCAAAGAGACAATGATCTTTTGGGTTACTTTATGTTTTCTCTGGATGGCTATCATGGCTATCAGAGTTAGTTAGTCACACCTGGATTTAAATTGACTGCAATTTCAGTCCAACTTTGTCAGCGTTGGCTAACTCTGTGGTAAAAATGGGACACAATATGCATAAAATATAATATGTGATATGATTGACAGACATAAGAACAAGGCACAAAAGTCAGCATTCATTAAATATTAGTTTAAATTTGTTTCAATTTCTTAAATGGATATTGGTCCTTCACATGTGAAGAAAATAGCAACACCTACAGAATATCTGAATTCAAAAGAAGTTGTAAAACAAAAGAAGTTGCCTCTACAACTTTTCTAACCTCTACAATTTTCTAAGCTCTGAACTAAGATGGCCAGTCATGAGTCCTCTATTATAGGTGTTCAGACCAAATATAAGGCAGAAATTCTGGGGAAATTGGCCATCAACATGCACAGTGTCTGCAGTCTCCACCTTGTTTGAGAATTTTTTTTTATATTTGACAGTACAGTATATCATCTAAACTCAGAAAGGGGAAACTCCAGTATTGTACTCACAGAGCAACCTCTGTTACACAGTTTTTGGAAAAGGAGTTTGAGGGGAACCCTCAATGCAGTGTATATTTGATGAATGATATGGGCTCTTTAAATGAGTAAACATGGTTCAATTCCTTCTATTTCCTTCTGTTTTTCTTTCTGAACATCTGCAAAACTACAGTGTTAAAATCTGTCTTTATGGTGGTTTGCAGATTAAAACAAAAGTAAAAATGAAATGAAATAATATATGTAAATGCCAACCTCATTTGTCAGTTACATTGTTAAAATACTTATTAATATGAATTAACTATTAATTTTTACTTATATTCCAAATTGTGGGTTTTGTAATCTTTTTCACATTTTTGATGTGTTACAATATGAGATGATCTGTTTTTGTGGTATCATCACAATTTCCTGTAGCTTGCTGCAAATTTCCAAATGGAATATGGTACTAGTATTTTAAAAGGTAGTCTTTTCTAATTCTCATCTTCACTGATTATATAAATTTCCTATTGCTTCTATGGCAAATTTCTACAAATTTGGAAACATAAAATAACATAAATTTATTACCTTGGAGTGTTGGAGGTCAGAAGTCCTAAAATGAGTGTTTTGGCAGTGTTAATTCCTTTGGGGACTTTTTCTTATTTATTTATACAAGAGCTGGTGTACAGGCCAAAGGCATGGGGGGGTAAGAGGAGTCACCAGAGACAGAGCGGGAAACAGAACAGGCAGACGGACTGAAAGCACTGCTGAGGGGAGCAGTGGGCACGACAGGAGAGGTCTGCTGAGCCATGTGGGTATCTCCTTGGCTAGATGGGAATTGAACCCGTGCTGCAGAGGCTGCAGACAGCTTCACAGCACTGTGCGCAATCTGCTGTGCCACCGGGGAGACCCCTCCTTTGGGGACTTAAAGGGAGAATATGTCTTCTTGCCTTTTCCATCTTCCAGAGCTGCCTGCATTCCTGGCCTCGTGACTTCTTCCCTTACCAAAACTAGCAAGCAAGCATCCTCATATCTCATTACTATCTCTTAACTTTTGCTTTCATCATCAAATCTCTGATTTTAACTCTCCTTCTTTACCTATAAAGACTCCCGTGACTTTACTCAGTTTATCCAATCTGAAATAATTTCCTCATCTCAAAATTCATAATTTAATCACATCTACAAGAATCTCTTTGCCATAGAAAGTTATATATTGAAGAGTCTAAGGATTAGGGCTTGAACATCTTTGGGAAGTCATCAATTGCCTACCGCAGTGAATTTAAAGAACAAGTTATTTATCTTCTTAGAGCCATAAAGGATATATTAAAGGAGGGTTCAAGTTTAATATTGTTAATATTTAACTTTATAAATATGAAGCAAAGGCGATATAACAGAAGAAGCTTTTATTGAATTTTTGCTCTACAACAGAATCTGTACAAGGTATTTTACATAATTTCATAAAGTTATCTCAGCCACACCCATTTTGTTAAGTTGCTTTACCCTGTTCCACAGAAGATAATATAGGACTCCCAGAACAATGTATTCAAAGTTACTTGCCTAGTGCTAGAATCATCAATTTTTGACAGACCTAGACAATAGTAAAGATCACACCTTTAATTAGGTCATGCTCTGCCTAGATTGAATCTTAACCTTGAGAGTTTAAAGGATTCCTACAATACAAATAAAATCTTTAACAATTACTATAGTACTTTATATGACTTTTTTAAAAGATTTATTTATTTATGCATTCAAGAACTGGGGTACAGGCCAGAAGTGTGAGGGATGAGAGAGGAATTACCAGAGACAGTGTGGGGAATAGAACAGGCAGACTGAAGTACCTTGCTGAGGGGAGCAGCAGGCGACACAGGAGAGGTCTGCTACACCATGTAGGTAGCTCCCTGGCTGTCCAGGGATCGAACTTGTGCTGCAGAGGCTGCCAATTTCTTCATAGTGCTGTGCCTAACCCCTTGCGCCACCAGGGAGCTCCCTATATGAGTAATTGTAATACATTTTACCTGTGATATTTATTTTCTACAGAACTAAAAATGGAAACTATGCAAAGAGAAATTATTCTTTTACATATAGCTACAAAATACTTTTGCTAAAAGACTAATTTTTCCCTTATGCTACTTCTTTCAAAGAGTTATATAAATCTTAAATAATCAATAATAAAAATAAAATAAAAATATTTTTAATATGGGTGTTGAAGAGGTTTCTACTTTATTTAATCAAATAATGTTA